GTCATACACAGAACTCACCACAGATATATCGCTTCTAAAGTAGAGTAGGATCTGCAATTTATAGGATTGAGGGTAACAATTTGATATCTAGTCTTACAGAGACTGTTCCCTCCCTGGTTTTCAATGACAAGGAGCCAGGGTCAAGTTACCGTTGCCCGCCCCTCAAGAAAAGCTCCAAAAACACACACTTCAGTTAGTAATTTCATAGTTTCAAAATACATTTCGGTGTGTGAGTGAGTGCACAAGTGAGTGAGTGTGCGAGTGAGAGTGATGGTGTTTGCATGAACAGTGAAAAGATTCTTTCATGGTTGCAATAATGAACCATAAGAAACCAGCAGCAAGGCATACTGTACAAAAAGGTGCACCTGGAACTAGAGGAACCACAAGGTGAAGCTGGTCCAGTAAGGTCCAAAAACAAACACAATAAAGTGGAGATAAAGCTTCTTCAATGACTGGTGGATGGATTGTGACTCTTTGGTAAATAAAACTCTCTGACAGTACCCAGTCAGTTGTTTTGTCTCCAACTAGGAACTAGGCAGCACAGGCACCAATTTCAGACAAACTTGTTTGCAACAACTCAAAGGCAGAGTTTGGAGGACCAGGGACTATGTGCTGGGGAAGAGGGACAACGGCTGGGAGGAATTTCCATCTGCCACTTCAACCCATGGTGCTTTCTCGTGGCTCTCTTTTGCCTCTGAAGTGAGCACTGTGAATGGGTCCCATGCCTGGTTCTCAGGCTGCCATTCTACCTAGATGACAGCTGACCTCCTTTGTGGACACCTTACTCCATGAGGTCTTCAGCCCTCCCCAGTTCTCAGATGAAGATCAGATTACACAGTGAGCTCCCCCTTGTGCCTGTGTGTTTTGCAAGAGGAGAGGAATATGTTGGCCTGCTCTGTGGATGTCAACGGAAAGCTCCATTGGGTCAGACAGCACTGACAGAGGTGCCCTGTTTTGGGGGGAATTTTCATTTCCTCAGCCTTCTTGAAAGCTGATAAATTCAGCCTCGAGACTGTAATTTTACCCAAAATGAAGAGCTCGGCCTGACTGAATTTTGAGGGAGGTAGGGGAGACATGGATCTGGGCAGACTTGCTTTAAATCATTAAATTTTCCTCTCTGATCCAGTGTGAGTTGGACAGTCCCAATTAAACTGTGTTATAAGAAAAGGTTGGCAAAACTGGCTCTTAATTCCTTCCCAGGAATCTCTTGTTGCCCACATTCAGCCTTTGCCCTATGGCATTTCCCAGGCCTCGTTCCTGCCCAGTTGCCTAAATCTCAAATTCACCTCCCCCTGCCCCGCCTGCATCCACCCTCCTACAGTTGGGCCAACCCATATTACCCCAGGGATAATCCATTCTGGGCCAGCACAGAATACTACACAGCAACCGGTAGTGGGGGGGTGGTGAAGGGGTAATGGATTGGAGTTTTGTATCTTACCGCACTTAAGACGTGGCAAACACCATTTTCTTCCAAAATTGATGCCTTAACCGACACTAATGAACAGCATTCACTTTACAAATTAAAGGAAACAAAAAAAGTCTCTTTACAAATGTGTCCACTCTCAGTAACAAAAAAAATTCAAATAAAGACTATCTTTAGCACAAAATAGAACTCAACATAACTGTAACATTGACAAAGCATACCCTTATCAACACATTTAAAAAAAAACAAGCTGTGGCATCTAGATTTACTAAAAGGAAATTGCATCTGCCTCTCCCCCCTCCCTCTCTCTCTCCAAACATCTGTTTTTTTAAAAAAAATCTATAAAAGTGTTCAATTGAAACATTTCATTTTGAAGCAAACATTTTTGTCTCATTTCTACTAAGAGCTGAATTCATTTCTTGTTTTCAAAAGTCAGCAATAAAACAGTGAAGAAAGCACCATCTCTAACGACCCACCCTCCCCACTCTAATTTTCCGCAAAGCTTTAAAAGACAGTTCAATGCATTGCAGCAGCTTTTTTTTTAAAAAAAAACACACACACGTAAATATATTTGCATCTCAAAGCCAGCTAATGAATCTAGGTCAAAAAAATATCATTTAATGCAGCAAGTAGCAGAGAGGGAGAGAAAAAAACCCAAGAAAATAACCCAGAACACAACTTCAAGTTACCCGTTTCTCTATCAGTGTTCTTTTCTTGTGGTTTTACACATAAAACTTCCATGATTGTTAAAAAATATATCTATATTTTTGTGCACATCTTCCAGCAATAGTTATCAAATCCCCAAGATGTTGACTTTGGAAGTGGGGGCATGTGAGGGAGTACAGAGTTAACTGATTTTTTTTAGGAGCTGTATTCATTTAACATCTAAGAACACATCTGTCTCAGGTTTCACTGTTAGGCCCTCATTCCTGTGTCAGAGGCCACAGATCTGTCCGAGTGTCTAGGCAAACAACCGTTTTATACAACTCCTGTGTGAAGCAACTCAATTTAGTTAGTTCCCATCCCCCCTCCACTTATTTTAATTTGAAAATGACTTTATTGTTTCCCCCAGCCCCTTACTCGCATGTAATCCAGCGAGATCTCATCATAAACTGACTGATAACTTGAGGAAAAGGCCTGCTGAGCAGACGTAGGCCACAAGTGAACTCCAAGGCCTATGGTACGAATGGCTCTTTCTGCTCAGAGAATTTTACTGAGGGCTCAAATGCTCACAATTTCTTGAGACTTCTGTACATTGAATGTGTTTGTGTTTACTGGCAAGTAAATTCAAGTGGCAGCTGGATGTCTTGACATGATTTTTGAGCTTGATTGTCATGCAAGTACTGATCGTTTCAGAAGGGAGACATAGGTGGGATGGCTATGTTGAGCATCAAGAATGAAGAGAGATGAGGGATAAATGGATGGCTCAATCTTCAGCCAGCTCCACATTCTTAGCTGTACTGAGTAGGGAGACAATATTGAGGGTAAAATCGGACAGGCCAGTTATGCCAGTGCTTTCTGCTGCCTGGTTGGTAGGTTGAGAATGTTCAGAGCAAGTGATACGGGGTAAACTAACTGATAATCAGTGAGGACATTGCAAGAGGTTATCGTAGGGTATTCATCATGTTTGGATCAACTAGTTCACCACCATTTTAGTGTTCTACATGATAGGATAGAGAGATTAAATTGAGAATGTCTTCAACCGATGATTCAAGGCTAAGACAGATTTTTAATCAGAAAGGGAATCAAGGGTTATAGAGGAAAGGCAGGAAAGTGGAGTTGAGGATTATCAGAGCAGCTGTGATCAGAGCAGACTGAATGGGTTGAATGACCTACTTCTGTCCTACATCTTATAGCCTAGAACACCTTGCACTTCAAATAGTGCCATGGTATCTTTTCTGTCCACTTTAAGAAGCAGACGGGGCCTTGGGTTAACATCTGAAAGGCAAAAAGATCCAACACACACACACACACACACACACAAGAGTAAGGCCAAATAGCCTCCTGCTGTACAATAAATTCTTAACATTCTGTTGTAAGTCTGCTGTGAAGCTTCTACCCATATTTTGCACTCTAATAGGAATAAGGCCTGAACCCACAACTTTTTAACAATTGCCACCCACGCCAAGCTGACACTTGGGCAGTGTTACAAATGGGCTACATCCAGCAGATGCATTTTGTTTACAATAGATGCTCATATTAAAAAAAAGTTTAATCCTCCTGTGAACCAGCCAGCTTTGAACGAAAGGAAATAATCTGAACTAGTTTAAAATCAGGTATTTTTATCAGCTTCACTGTTTTGAAAGCTGTCAGATGCATCAAGTTGGAACAGGGCCACATAGTGAAAGGGCTCCCTCTTGTGACCATTCTTATCACACACCCACCCTTTGTTTTTTGAGGGTTCTGGTAATACAGGTCTGTGCATGGCATGCTCGACTCATTTACCCATGGGAGCATGTGTCAGTAGGTGTTGACTGGGCAGGATTGAAGGTGGGCTCACTATGGCCATGAGGAAGCTGTTTTACACACACACATGGAGGCTAATCGCAATAATGCCTGAGATTTGCAAATCTCACAATGAAACAAAGCCAGCACGTGAATGAATTAAAGTTGGTGCATAATCAGTAGGTCAAGTTAGTTGGACGCCCTTTACTCATCATTTAGAAAGTCCTCAGGGGCACTCAAAATCAAATCCTATCAACTAACTGGACTTTGTTAGATTCTCCTAAAGTGCTGTGTTGTCCTCGTTGTCTTAACTGGCACAAATGAATGACATAAAATTCACATAAGATTAGAGATTTCTCCCCACACAAGCAGAGCCCTCACACAGATAGCCAATGATTCAGGCTCAGTTGACACCTTTCGATTCATGGTATGGTCATAAAATCAGGTGAAAAGGAGAATTGGAACCAGTGAGATATCACTGCTCGATCATTACCTAGTTGTCAGTTTTCCTGTGAGGTGACAGAGGGAGTATCTGATAAATACTCAGCTATGTACTCTGGGTGGAGGGTCTCATGGACTTACATGGCCTTTCCACTACTCAGTCTGCCCAAATGTCTTGATCGTGGGGCTACCTCCACAGTTAAAAAGCTACTTTGTGCACACAACAAGAATTGAACCCCACCCCTCCACTTTAGAGAATCTATATATTGCAAATGTTTTTAGTGCTGGAATTGTGCCATTTAACTCTTCAAGTGAATGTGGTTTTTTCTATGTGGTAGATGTCTTATTTTTTATTCATTCACAAGATGGGGGTGTTGCTGGTTAGGCCAGCATTTATTGCCCCTTGAGAAGGTGGTAGTGAGCTGCCTTTTTGAACTGTTGCAGTCCATGTGCTGTAGGTAGACCCACAATGGAAGGGAGTTCCAGTATTTTGACCCAGCAACACTGAAGGAACGGCGATATATTTCTGAGTCATGATGGTGAGTGGCTTGGAGGGGACCTTGAAGGTGTTCTCATGTATCTGCTGCTCATGTCCTTCTAGATGGAAGTAGTCGTGGGTTTGGAAGGTGCTGTCCAAGGATCTTTAGTGAATTTCCGCAGTGCATCTTATAGACAGTACACACTGCTGCTACTGAGGGTGTGGATGTTGGAAATGGTGGATCGGTTGCTAATCAAGCAGGCTGTTTTATCTTTGCTCTCCTTCCTTTTTTATGCAAGTTTTTTTTAAATCTTCTAATGGGAACATGGCAAAGGTATGCTTTTGGGAGAACTGTTTGATTCAAAGCCACTTAAGCTCCCCTTAAAATCAATGATGGCAAAGAATAGTTACGTTTGTAAAATGACGCTAGCAGCTGAACTCTCCCCTTACAGCATCCAGCTGAATCATGAACACTTTTGGCTGGTAAATCACTCTTTCTCTGGTTCTTTCTCTGATCAGCTCTGAACTTATTGTGCTAGTTTATAAAACCCATCCTAAAAGCATCAATGAAGGTGCAAGCTGCAGGCCTATTTTAACAGTTTTGGCATTGCCCTCTCAAAATCATAGGCACCAATTTACAGCATCAGAGTGAAGCAGGGAGATGAGGAGAATTTTATTGTATATGTCCATACATTGCCTGAAAGGGGGAGGCAAGCAGGTTCAATCAGCGCTTTCAAAAGAGGAATGAAGGAAATATTTGCAGGGAAATACAGAGAGTTATTGAATCACTCTTTCAAAAAGCCAGAATAGAGATGATGGGTCAAAGGTCTCCTTGCGTTCTGTACTACTTTTTGATTTTGACTGCTTGGAACATTCCTTGAAGCTGTACCTGAAGTCGGCCATCAACTGGAACTAAATCACTTCCACCAAAGGCCTTTTCTGAGTAAAGTGAGAATGAGAGGGAGGGTTCTTGGGGAGGTGTAGATCGGAACACGGATGAAGAGAAACTGTAATTTGAAGTTGCCTGTTTGTTTTTCTGTTAGTGTTCCCACAGAGGATGTTAAAAAGGAGAAAATTGAAACCACACTAATCTCTACAGCATCGTCATGGCAGCAACAGACAATCAATTCATTGTTAAAGTTGTAACTGTACAAGGTCATGGACTTCACCTAGTGAAGGTTTGAACTCAAATCAACCTGGATATTTTACAAAACAAAAAAAAACTAATCACGGTTAAAAAGACATTTGATGTGTAATCTTCTCCTCTCTTACTCTGAGCAGTTTCAGAATGCTTAAATAATGATTTGCTATAGTTGCACTTTCAAAAAAATAAGCTCTCTTTCCGTATCAAAATAAACCTCTTTTCCACAGATTCTGCCACCGATTTTGGTATGTCTGGTTAACTGAAGTAGAAAGTTTATCAAAATAGCTGTGTTTTTTTTCTTTGTTGAATGTCTTACAAATAAAAGGAAAAACTTTTGTGTGTTTTTTTTCCAAATCTTGTGCAAAAATTTCTCTTTGTTTTTGACCACCACCGCCCCCCCTCCCCCCCCCCCACCCCCTCCAGAGCAGTCTGGTTTCTGGTTCACACCGATTCAGGAGAGCTGATTCATTCATCTTCTCACTCTCACATCTGGAAGAAAAGAAAACAAGACTTAAAATGGATCTGTGCAAATTCACAGCATCCCTTGCTGTTCTCAAGAGAGACAGAGAGATGGGGTTGACACTGACAAGGCTTCACCCCAATTTTACCTCCGTTTTTTTTCTTCTCTGCGGCCTATTTCTTGTGCTGCACGACCCCTTTAGGATAGTTGCATGATGCACCTTAAAAGGACACTGGTCGGTCTCTGTCTACACACTACATTCTGAGCCCTAGTTTCCCTGAGGAGGTGATGATGTTGGGCCACTGCGTGTAGCCATCGCCTATTTCCCTCACAATTGAAGACTCTATGAAGCTACCTCAGCCTTGAACACATAAAGTAAACCTGGACCAGGTACAGTTGGCAGCTTCCCTTTCCTATCGAATTGATAATGAACTATCTGGATTTTTTTTTACAAAAATCCAGCAGCTTCCACAGTCGTATACTTTTTTCTAGAGACAGCCACAAATTGTCAGGTAAATTGATATTGATTCTACTACTTACCTGAAGTGAGATTTGAGCCCAGGACCTACATAAATTGCTAGGGAGTACTGCAAGCCCGACACTAATGAACCTCATATATTGGTTTGTAGTTCCACGGGTGCCATGTACCCACTGGTAATTCACCCATGTGGTTGTTCATGTGTAACTCTCAACAGCGAGTGTCTATAATTACGCACTGACTCTTGCTAAGATTTGCTTTCAGTTAAAAAACATAGAAAATAGGAGCAGGAGTAGGCCATTCAGCCCTTAGCATCTGCTCCCCCATTCAATATAATCATGGCTGATCATCCAACTCAGTCCCCTGTTCCTGCTTTCTCCCCCATACCGATTAAAGGGTTCAAAGAGTAAGAACTATATCCAGCTCTTTCTCAGAAACATTCAATATTTTGGTCTCAACCACTTTCTGTAGCAGAGAATTCCATACACCCACCACTTCTTAGGTGAAAAAATTTCTCCTCATCTCAGTTCTAAATGGCCAATCCCATATACTTAGAATCTGACCCTTGGTTCTGGACTCCCCAGTTATCAAGGAGTTAGTCTAACAGTTAATCTAAGGAACTATTTCAGTACAATGCAAGGGACTCTTAGCAACTCCGTGATTTTAACAATTACTTTTTCTATTCAAGTATTGGACTGTGACAAACAACAGTCTAGGACAAGTGTCAATGATGGTCCCTTGATTCTGAACTACAAGATGCCAGGTTCAAATCCTACTTCAAGACTTGTGTGTAAAAATACAGCCTAACACTCCAGGGCTGTACTGAAGGACTGTTGGACGTGCTGTCTTTTGTTTGAGATATTACATCAATGTGTAACCTGTCGCATTTGCTTGCTCAGGTAGATTGTAAAAGATTCTCTGGCACTGTTTCAAAGAAGGGCGGTGGTGATGAGTGGGGTAGTGGTGATATTTCTGGTTTTCTGTTCAAAAATTCTCTCTTTATTAACATTCCAAAAACGAAGTAACTGGTCATCGTCATTTTCCTGATTGTGGAGCTTGCTGTGCACAAATTGGTTGGTATATTTCCTGCAGTGACTACGAAAATTCTTAATTGGCTGTAAAAAGTGCTTTGATGCATCCAGTGGTCATGTATACCTATAGGTATGTTTCTCCCTGTTAAAGGGTGCCTTGCCTGCCAGTCAGCAGTGTAGTTTGGGGTTTGATGTTACTTGTGGTGGTTCACCTTAAGTTAGGGGTGGATTTTGATGGAATCCAGAGATGGGCATCTTCAAATGCTCAGGTCTGAAAGATTCACATTCTAATGCCATGTTGCAGCCCATTCATGTTGCAAACTACCCAGCTTGCTTCCCATTTTCCCTGCTCTTCAGTCTGTTTTTATTACTTCTTTAATCTCATTTCCCAGTCTTTCTGGGACCCAGCCTTGACTTGTTCTTGTTGTCCATCCATTCAATCAAAAATAAAAGTGGCCAGATGCTTGGGTCCTAGGGAACAATAGGTTGGCGTTCAAACAGAGATTTGTACCCATCATTCCTACTTCACGGCTAGCAATACCTGAGTAAGAATGGGGACATGAGGAATGTCACATGCACAGGAAGTTGCTAGCCAACACACCATTGTACCCTGGCAGTGGGGAGAAAGAAACATGGAAGGCAGGAGTCCGTGTGTAGTTCACAGAAGATGGCGTCAAGAGTGGCATCAACAAGAGATGGGTTTCTAGAGAGAATGTGGGACAGGTGGATATTTCACACGAGGAACAGAACTGACAGGGATGAAGGAGCAACTTGAAGAGGTGCAACAGAAATGCCGTACTGAGAGGATTAGCTTCCTACCTCAGATTTACTTGCTGTGCTGGTAGGAATAGGTTGCATGTTCAGAGGATGTTTCCATAGCAACCTGCTGCTGCTGGCCACTGGGTTCCTGCAATGGGAAAACATGAAGCTGTCACACAAGTTTTCCCATGTTGTTTACAGTAAAGGCTCGGCAAAGGGATGATGAGGATGATGAAGAAATCTGATGACTGGCTCAGAGTTTGAAAGCCTGACGTTCCCGCCCTCACACACGCAGCACTTGTATCACTAAACACGCTGAGTTAACATCCCGAGAACCCAAAGTGCAGCCAAGTGCTTTTTATAAGTGATTTGCAGCAGCGGGGTACTTAACAAGCAGCCCCAAGTTGAAACAGCCCTGCCTGAAAGCTCTGTTTACATCTCCTGGTCCAGGAACTGCTCATGCCAGTCTGTTCTGTGTTGCCAATGGTTGTGTGATACCCATTGCCAGGCACTATGATGTATGAGCAGCGTAACAGAACCAGGAAATAGTTTAAACGGCCAGCTTACTGCTCACCAGGAGTTGCTCAAACACTCAGGAAGATCTCAAAATGGCTGCACTGGTATTGGGTGGAGCCTCAGCTTCACAAACCACCTGGAGTGACTTGATGAAGGTCTCTGAGCTGTATCGGTGAAATCAGTTCATCCACTGTTAACTGGTTTCCTCGTCCATGCAACCATCCAGAATTCACTGCTAACCTGCCATAACTTGCCCAGAAAGTTTGAGAGGATGAATGCTAAAGGAAGACAATTGTTTCAAGATTCAAACCGGGCTAGTGTTGGAGGGAGATACTTCTTAGTATTTAAACTATGCTACGGTTAAGCCAAGGAAGTCTTGTGGCACAGTGGGTTAGTGTCCCTACCTCTTGAACTAGAAGCTCCTAGTTCAAGCTCCACTCCAGGGCTTGATAGAACAAGGAAAGTGTGTTAAGTTGAAAATCCTTCCAACATACACCAATGATAGATAGTAAGAGCAAGAGAGATTCCTGGTCAGCCATGTGATGGAAAGAGATTGTATCACCATCCATAGATCCAGATTACAACATGCATGTAAAAGTGCATGTTGCCATAGCAACCCCAACTCCTGGGGTGAACTGTAACAGGCCACCACTCTGGCTAATATCCAAATGCTCAACATTGAGAGGGGAAAATACCAAATTTGAGGAAAGAATCCCATTGTCCTGGAATGACTTGCTTAGGGCAATGGGAAGGCTGGTGGCAGATGGAGTTTTATGAGGTCAAACATTTTGGAAAGGCCAAACACGAGAAAGTTTTCAAGACTCAAATCCACAATCCTGGAACATGTGACTGCAAGTAGATAAAATGCCAGGATTTCAGAAAAAGAGAGGACAAGAACAAAGAAAGAATGATAAAGTGATACAAAGCACATGCTCATTCCTCATTACAGAAAGGACATTAAGAATGTGCACGGTGTAGATTCACCAAGGTGAGAAACGATAGATATGAGGAGACACTATGAATCCTGGAACTATTTCCATTGGAGGAAAACAAGCCAAGAGGAGATTTAATAGAAGATTCTCTAAAAATGAAAAGAATTTTGAAAGTGAACAGGGGGCAATTCTGTCAGCTGTGGACAGAAAGTTATCAAGTGAGTGACTGCTCCCTTTATTTCAATAAGGACTTTGTGCATGGTATACTCGGCGTAGACATCACTGCATATTTTTAAAGAAATATGGATAAAACTCTGAAGCAGGGAAAGATCCTGACATAAGAGGAGTGAGTCGGATCAGTTTGGATTGCTCCTGCAAAGAGCTAGCACAGACAACGCTGGGACGAATGGCTTCCTGCAATCTACACAACAAGAAAAGACAGCAAGTCTTGGGTTTTGAAGGGACTTACCTCGACAGATACGTTGGAGGGAGGCATTGGGTTGTACTGAGGAATGTATGTCCCTTGTATTGCTGTGGTGGCAGGCATGTACTGGGAAAAGATACAGAACAACTCTTACCAACTTGACAAAAGAAAGCTACAGACAGACTCCACAAATACATCTCAGTTATTTGTAATCCTCATTAGTGGCACGATCCTGAAGGTAAATTAAAATACAACCTTTATCACACACCTGCTCTTATTTAATCTGAAAGTTGTGTTTTCAACAATATACCATCACTTACAAAAACACAGGCAAAATAGAGATGGCACCTTGTCATATTGTGCCGATATGTTCATTAAAAAAGCCTCAGAAACAATTAATTGCTTTGAAGTTTTGGTAGGTAGGAAAAGGGAATTGATATTTCTAGGTAAGGCAAGATTACACATTAAATTTTTCTGTTTGTTTGATGCCTGCAAAGCCATGTTCTGTGCTTATTATATTTCAGAAATAGCTTTGCTTACTGAGACTGCAGTGATATAAATTAGTAAATTGTACACTTGGGGGTAAAGTATTATACCAGTTGTAATTAGTTAGCTTTGAACAGGGTCCCACAGAATAATCGAGGTAGAAACCACTGCAGGAGACACAGTAAGCAACTTGCCTGCTCTTCCTGCCTCTTCACATTGACTGGTCTTGGTCAGATGCAGCTGCAATGGATGTATAAGACCATAAGACAGAGGAGCAGAAGTAGGCCATTCAGCCCATTAAGTCTGCTCTGCCACTCAATGAGATCACAGCTGATCTGATCATCCTCAACTCCACTTTCCTGCCTTTTCCTCCATAACCCTTGATTCCCTTCTTGATTAAAAATTTGTCTATCTCAGCCTTGAATATACTAAATGACCCAGCCTTGACAGCTGTCTGCGGTAAAGAATTCCACAGATTCACTACCCTCTGAGAGAAGAAATTCCTCCTCATCTTTGTCTTAAATGTGCGACCCTTTATTCTGAGATGATGCCCTCTGGTCCTAGACTCTCCCAAAAGGAGAAACAATCTCTCCATATCTACCCTGTCACATAAAAATCTTATATGTTTCAATAAAGTCACCTCTCATTCTTCTAAATTTCAATGAGTTCAGGCCCAACCTACTCAACCTGTCCTCATAAGACAGTACCTTTCCATCAGGAATCAGCTGAGTGAACCTTCTCTGGACTGCCTTCAATATCAATCTATCTTTCTTTTGATAAGGGGACCCAAAACTGTTCACAGTGTTCCAACTGTGGTCTGACTAGTGCCTTGTATAGTTTTAGCAAAACCTCCCTATTGTTATACTCCATTTCCTTTGAAATAAAGGCCAGCATTCCATTTGCTTTCCCTATTATCTGCAGAACTTGGATACTAGCTTTTTGTGATTCATGTACAAATCCCTCTGTTCTGTACCTTTCTGCAGTCTTTCTCCATTTAAATAATATTTGACTCCTGTATTCTTCCAGCCAAAGTGCATAACCTTACATTTTCCCACATTATATTCCATCTGCTAAGCTTTTGCCCTCTCACTTAACCTGTCTATATCCCTCTGCAGACTCTTTCTGTCATTCTCACCACTTGCCTTCCCATCTATTTTTGTATCGTCTGCAAACTTAGCAATATTGCATTCACTTTTCTCATCCAAATCATTCATATATTTTATAAATAACTGGCCCAGAACTGATCCTTGTAGCAATCCACTAGTTACAGGTTGCTATGCTGAAATTAGCCCCTGTTATTCCCAGCTCTCTACCTTCTGTTAGGTAGCCACCAATCCTCTATCCATGCTAATATTCTACCTCCAGCACCATGGGCTCTTAATAAGTAAGCTAAAGGGTGGTATCTTATCAAATGCATTGTGAAAATCCAATTATATTATATTCACCACTTCCCCTTTATCTATCCTGCTTAATGCGGAGTTTAATGCGGAAAAGTGTGAGGTGATTCACTTTGGAAGGAGTAACAGGAATACAGAGTACTGGGCTAATGGTAAGATTCTTGGTAGTGTGGATGAGCAGAAAGATCTCGGTGTCCATGTGCATAGATCACTGAAAGTTGCCACCCAGGTTGATAGCGTTATTAAGAAGGCGTACAGTATGTTAGGTTTTATTGGTAGAGGGATTGAGTTTCGGAGCCATGAGGTCATGTTGCAGCTGTACAAAACTCTGGTGCGGCCGCACTTGGAGTATTGCGTACAGTTCTGGTCACCGCATTATAGGAAGGATGTGGAAGCATTGGAAAGGGTGCAGAGGAGATTTACCAGGATGTTGCCTGGTATGGAGGGAAGGTCTTATAAGGAAAGGCTGAGGGTCTTGAGGCTGTTTTCGTTAGAGAGAAGAAGGTTAAGAGGTGACTTGATAGAGACATACAAGATCATCAGAGGATTAGATAGGGTGGACAGTGGGAGCCTTTTTCCTCGGATGGTGATGGCTAGCACGAGGGGACATAGCTTTAAATTGAGGGGTGATAGATATAGGACAGATGTCAGAGGTAGGTTCTTTACTCAGAGAGTAGTAAGGGCATGGAATGCCCTGCCTGCAAAAATAGTAGACTCGCCAACTTTAAGGGCATTTAAATGGTCATTGGATAAACATATGGATGATAATGGAATAGTTTAGGTTAGATGGGCTTCAGATTGGTTTCACAGGTCGGCGCAACATCGAGGGCCGAAGGGCCTGTACTGCGCTGTAATGTTCTATGTTCTATGCTTGTTACCTCCTCAAAGAATTCTAGCAAATTTGCCAGACATGACTACCCTTCCATGAGGCCATGCTGACTCTGCTATTCATGAATACTCATGTATTTCTAAATGCACTGCAATTACATCCTTGAAAATAGACTCTTAACATTTTCTCAACAACGGATGTTAAGCTAACTAGCCACTGGATGTGACTAATACTGGTTACAAATGTGTGCACATGATCTTTATTCAGACTTCACTGTTGTTCCCTAGAGAAGAGGCTCACCAGGGGAGGGTGTGCAGGCATCAACAGCAATTTGCATTTATATAGCACCTTTCATGAAATGTCACACTATGATTCACCGGGCCAGGTGAGAAGATATTAGGACAACTTTGATTAAGGCGTCAGTTTTAATGAGCATCTCCAAGGAAGCTATGAGATTTAGTAGACCAATGAGACCTTGGTTTGCCAGCTCATCCAAAAGACCACATCTCTTGACAGTGCAGCACTCCCTCAGTACTGCTCTGGGAATGATAATCCTGGATTATGCACTCAAACTTTTGGACTGGGTCTAAAACCCACAAGCATTTCACTCAGATGTGAGAATGTCAGCAAGGGAGCCAAGCTAACACTTCAGGTTGTGGGCTGACTGTGGTTTTTTCCTTTGTTTGAGGGAAAACAAACTACAAGCACCCCATAGGTTCAAGTGGACAAGTATGTGACTGAACCACGTAGGTAAGCCAAAGAAGATTGCAGGTTCAATACCTGTTCTATGCTGAGGTCGCTCATCACCATCATGGTAGCTGCTACAATTAGCCTCTGTGCCAGGAAAAGAAAACAACCAGTTGGATTTCCCACTCCTGGTCAGGAATCCAATCAGTCACTGATGGTCTAACACCTCCTGGCCAGCCGCATTCTCACAGACACTGTCAACCAGGTTCTGCATGCTGGTTTCAACACATTCCTCCCAACTTTCCCTCCCTGCACCATCTCGGTGGCCCTGTGCAATTGTAGCAGCCATGTTTGAGACCAGCCAACATAGATTCCAGGTTGAACCTGAGACTTTCCAAGCCATTCTTTGGTAGCACAGACCTGGAGTATTGCTGAAAAAGACACATTTTGTTGAAGCTTTGCACTCATCTGGACATTTCACAAGAATACCAATTCAATGGGGAAAACCAGCATTTATAATGCATGGGAGGAGAGTGCTAATTGGTTGGTGAGTGGATCCTGATGGGTAGAGGCATTGCGATGGAGAATGTACCAATGAATGATGATTGACAGTTAACCACCAGGCTTTGTTTAAATTTTAAGGTTGGCTCTGATTGGCGAGCTGGTTGGCTTTACACTTATATGTGTGTGTGAGATGCACTTGCAAGTACTGAAACACAGAAACATGAAAATAGGAGCAGGAATAGGCCATTCAGTCTTCAAGCCCACTCTGCCACTCAATATGATCATGGCTGATCATCCAATCCAGTCCCCTGTTCCTGCTTTCTCCCCATATCCTTTGATCTCTTTAGCCCTAACTATACCTAATTCCTTCTCAAAATATTCAATGTTTTGGCCTCAATCACTTTCTGTGACAGAGAATTCCACAGGCTCACCACTCTCTGGGTGAAGACATTTCTCCTCATTTCAGTCCTAAATGGCCTACCCCACATCCTTAGACTGTCACCTTGGTTCTAGGCTCCCTGGTCATTGGGAACATCCTTCTTGCATCTACCCTGTCTTGTCCTATTAGAATTTTATAGGTTTCTATGAGATCCCTCCTCATTTTTCTAAACTCCAGTGAATATTGTCCTAACTGATCCAGTTGCTCATCATATGTCAGTCCTGCCTTCCCAGGAATCAGTCTGGTAAACCCTTTGTTGCACTCCCTCCATAGCTAGAACTACCAGGAAGCCAGACATATTAATAGACAGGGCCCTGTTCTTTGCAGACAGAAAGAACATATACAAACTTCGCACCTGTTTCACCTCATAAAATATAAATATAAACAACATGTTCACTGGTTCATTTCTCAGGGCCCCACTCCATGCATAGGTTAAAGTCAACCTGTCTAGTTTAAAATTTAAACAAAGCCTGGTAGTTAATTGTCAATCATCATTAACTGGTGCATTCTCCATTGTAATGCCTCTACCAGTCAGAGTTCACTTGCCCACCACTCAGCAATCTCTTTTCATACAGCATAAATGTTGGTACTCCCCCTGAACTGGTATTTTTGCAAATTGTCCTGATGAGCACAGACAAAAAGTGGCTTTTCTCAGCAAGAACATCCAAGTCAGTGGCATTGCGGGTATTTATCTTCTGAGGCCTTGATTTACAATGAAGAAGTAACTGCTTGAGGTTAATTATGTACTCACTTACTTTTCCCCATGATCCCAGAGCACTACCAGTGTAGGCAGCACTTACCGTTCCTGTGCTGCCCAGGGACAAGTGACTAAGCTGTTGGGTTAATGGTCCCATCATTGATGTGGGCTGGATAGACATGGTGTGGTCCATCGTAGGTGTTATTACTGTTCCCTTCAAAGACAAAAAACAAGTGTCACAAACCATTGTGAGCTTTCAGTTTGTTCAATCTTCTGGGGGCAATAACTCTCATTGGGAACACACTTCAAAGGTGGTCAGAAACAGATGCTGACAGAGAGGGCTGAGTGAGGCAGGGAGGTTGCCAAACTGGCTGGGCCCAGCCAAAAGGGGCACTGCTTTCAAATGAAGACAGAGATGGGAAATCTTTTCTCTCAGAGCATTGTACAACTTTGAAATTCTGCCTCAGAAGATTGTGGAGGTGATGGGGAGGGGGTGGGGGGGGATGAGGGGTGGAATATTTTTAAGGCAGGGGTCGATAGATTCTTGATGTCCAAGGGGATAAAAGATTATTGGGGGATATGCAGGAATGTAGAGTTGAGATTAAAATGAGATCAGTCACAATCTGACTGAATGGTGGAGCAGGCTCAAAGAGCTGAATGGCCTACTACTGCTCCCATTTTGTGTGTGAGTTAAGGGACGAGGCAGCTTGATACCTGGGAACTTCCCGGTACTGGTTCAAGTGTTGTGAAGGATTGGTTTACCAGTCACTCTCTTGACTGGGATCAGTTCACAGTTCAAAAAGGATTAAACCTGGGCTGGAGAGCTAGTGGTTTGGTGGGGTTGGGGTCCAAGATTTAAGTCCATGACTGCCTGAAGGGTCTAGGCCTGAAACGTCAGCCTTCCTGCTCCTCTGATGCTGCTTGGCCTGCTGTGTTCATCCAGCTCTACACCTTGTTATCTCTGCCTGCAAGTGTGTTCAGGTTGGGTGAGGGTATGCTTTGTTGCCACCATGGTGAAGTGAACAGGACCAGATAGTGCTGTAACTCCAGTAGGGTGGCAAGATCATTAGAGATCGATTGGTCAGCAGGTCGACTCCGATTGACCAAGACATTGCCATGGAGAAACAAACAGGAAACCATAAGCAGCACCCTTTCACCTGTGGTATAAATTGTTGTAATTGTTTGAAAGTTGGCATTCATGCATTGGTCCTGATGGGTGTAAAATGAAAAGCTTTGGTAACATCTTCTGCAGGATCTGAGGTTTATTTTGTACAATGGAAAAAAGGGAAAAAGAATAAAACTTACCATAGGCTGCATAAGGTACGACTGATGGTGCATCCAGGATGGGCTATGGACCTTCATATGAAATGAAACAAGAGAATAGTCATCAACAATAATTTTAATTTTATAGCATCTTCAACACAGAAAAACATCACAACATAGAACACCAAACCACAAAAAGATATACTGGGACAGGTGACCAAGAGTTTGATCAAAGAGGTAGGTTTTAAGGAGAATCTTAACTCAGGAGAGAGAAGTAGAAAATGGAGTGGTTCAGGGAGGGAATTATACAGAACTTAGGACCCAGCCAGCTGAAGGCACAGCCACCAGTAGTACATGGACCAATGTAAATCAGAGATGCTCAAGAGATCAGAATAGGAGGAATGCAGAGAGCTTATTATCTTCCACCACTTAGCAATGCACTTGAAAGTACAGATTGAGAGGTGATCATGACCTGAAGTGATGTTTAAAATATGCTCCAAATCATCAGCTGTCCACTAGAGCTTAGATATTGATTTGGTGCTTGAGGTAATGGCTGTGCATCTAAACCTTGAAGAAATAAGCCCTCTCCCCACCTTTCAGAAATTGCGTCTCCACCCCCAGCCCCAGCCCAACCGCTTCACTCCACTCACTGACATCGTATAATGGTCCACTCTGTATGTCTGGCTGAAGGCTTTGCCTAACTTCTAACCTTACTCCTAAAACTCCCCTGGGATGTGAACCGTCTGTTGTCACTGCAGGGCATGGGGAAGGCATACACTTGGTGGAAAAGTCACCTAGGAATGAGAAACTACAAATGAGTGGGTCAGTGAAGCCCACATTTAGTCAAAGAAGACTGGATTTCAAGCCATTGGCATTTAAGATTTTGAAAAACACTTTAATGAAACAAATGTTTACGTTTTCCTTCTTCACACAGGAAAATAACTGCTCACACAATTGTGTGCGATGTGGTCGGGTGCTATATGAGTGCAAATACTTCACCTCAGATCGCATGTCCGAACACATTACTTAGGCAATGATGTTTGATGCAGGACAAACAAATGGAGGAGGAGAAATGCATCATCACATTTAATTAGGATCTAGTTGGCAGAAGGCACAGCCACCAGCAGGCAGCATTTATTGCCAATCCCTAATTGCCCAGAGGGCAGCTAAGAGTCAACCACGTTGCTGTGGGTCTGGAGTCACATGTAGGCCAGACCAGGTAAGGATGGCAGTTACCTTCCCTAAAGGACATTAGTGAACCAGATGGGTTTTTCCGACAATCGACAATGGATTCATGGTCATCATTAGACTCTTAATTCAGAATTGTTTTTTGAATTCAAATTCCACCATCTGCCGTGGCAGGATTCAAACCTAGCTCCCCAGAATATTATCTGGGTCTCTTGATTAACACGCCAGCAATAATACCACTAGACCATCGCTTTCCCTTTTGCATCTTCACCTCAAGCAGCTTTTGCTCCTTTCCCTCTCCAATTTTTATGAAACCCCTAAGTTGAAATGGTCAAACAGATTCTTTTAAATATCTTTATTTATGAACTATGATATTTCTCCTGAATATGCTACGTGGTATCCAAAAGACACCATGCCAATTGTGGGTGTTTGCCAACCCAACCTGCACTTGAGGTCTGAGGCCTACACTGAGAGTATGCATGGTGTCATGGGTAATCCACAAACACTCACCTGATATGAAGACACAGGAGAAGTGATGTATGGTGAGATAGATGTCTGTGCGATCATCCTGTTTGGAGCAATACTGTATGGGCTGGAATAAAATCTAGAGCGAGATAGGACAGAGACAGACACTCAGTCATTGTTAGCCAATGTTGATTTTGTTGTTCCCCTGTGATTCCTTGTTTTTTACAATTCCATCCTGATCCAGCTTCATTAAAACCATAGGAAACCCTGACCCACACATACTATGTGAATCTCAAGGATACTATCTCTTGTTTAATGGTATGGGAAGTCACCGCCAAGGAAAACCCTCAAATCCTCTGGCGTATGTGAAAAATGGAGCAGAGACATATGGACTCCTTGTTCCTGTGGAACTGGGCACTCCACTGGAGTAAAGATCACAAAAAGTCACCCCTAGGCCTAAGCAATAACTTGGCCAGGAACTGCAGGACAGCTGGTCATCACAGCAGTAAACCCCGATAGCAGGTCAGGAGAAGATGTAAGGAAACATCGAGGAGAAAGAAATCACTGAAACGAGAGACAAGTTGTTCAAGCTTTTTTTTTGTCTTTCTCTCATCAGGAGTAAATGCAAGAATGCCAGATTTCCAACAATCACAATAATTTATGCCACAGGAGAAAAGGGTGGTCCATGGGAATGCCTCAGCCAATCAGAAAAAGGTGGTCCATGGCAAAATCTCGGTCAGAGGAAGGTGTTCCATGGCAACACGTGGCCATTTAGACTTGATCTGCCAACAGATCATTAGCCTTTTCTCTTGGCAATTTGGAAAAGAAATCCTTTCTCCTTTGGAGCTTCCAGACAAAGCACTATAATAGAAGATGATTGCTTCAGAGGACCTGAGTTTTTTGCTGGATTCATCAATCATGGGACGCAGCAGGCAGTTGCTTCACCACTTTCTTAGCCAGGGTAATAGTTGGTGTGAGGCTTAAGGCATTGAAAAAGATAAGATGACCTGATAACTACAATGGGAACAACTATCATAGTAAGGCTAGAATACTTACTCATTTTGCAGAGCAGTTGTTGGGTCATATGTAAGAGTCATTGTACCCTGAGGGAATAAATTAACAATGTCTTGAGGTATTTATTTGAAAAGTCTTCTCATTAACAGTAAACAACCAGATCTGGATTCAGAACAGGCCTTTCAGTCCATCTGCACCTTCCACACAATAGAAATAGTCTAACTCATCGTACACTCTACTCACTCACTTAATCTCCTTCCATAACCCTTACATCAACTATCCTATTGTAGGCACTAATTTGATTTCTGAAGGAAAATTGGGCATAAACAGCCCTTAATCTCTAAATGAAATTAAGCTGAATTCCTGAATATTTAAAACTACATCTCCATTCCTAAATCCTAATTTACAATCAGTCTCCACCCTGAAGGCCACCCACTTGTCTCAAGGTGTCTCACATGGTTATCACGCTGTATTTATATAACTGTTTCCAAACATTGTGAATCTTTCACAAAGACATCAACCAGAAGGAAAATATAGCACAAGCTCATAGATCATGAAAGAATTATGTCTTGACTTACATGTGGTTCAAGTTAGTCATTTTAAATACACGTGTGTGCACCATGGATTCCACAGAATACCCAGCACAGAAACAGATCATTTACCCAAACAGTTCATGCTGGTGTTCATTCTCATTGAAAGATAGCAAACAGAAGGAGGAGGCCATTCGGCCCTTTGAGCTTGCTCTGCCATTCAATATAATAATGCCTGATCATTCAACTTAGTCCCCCTGTTCCTGCTTTTTCTCATACCCTTTGATCCCTTCAGCTGTAAGAACAATATCTAACTCCTTGAAAACATTCAATGTTTTGACTTGAACTGCTTTCTATGACAGAGAATTCCACAGGCTCACCAATCTCTGGGTGAAGAAATTTTTCCTCATCTCAGTCCTAAATGACAGGGTGATGGCCAAGTGGTATTATCGCTGGACTGTTAATCCAGAGACTCAGATAACATTCTGGGGACCTGGGTTTGAATCCCGCCACAGCAGATGGCAGAATTTGAAGTCAATATCTGGAATTAAGAATCTAATGATGACCATGAATCCATTGTCAATTATTGGGAAAAACCTACCTGGTTCACTAATGTCCATTAGGGAAGGAAACTGCCATCTTTACCTGGTCTGGCGTACATGTGACTCCAGACCCACAGCAACATGGTTGACTCTTAACTGCCCTCTGGGCAATTAGGGATGGGCAATAAATGCTGTCTAGCCAGCGACGCTCTCATCCCATGAATGGATAAAGAAAACTCAGAATCTTTAGACTGTGACACAGTGGTTCTGGACACCCCAGTCATCGGGAACATCCTTCCAGTGCTCACTCCACTCGAGTCTCCTCCAATCATTCCTCATTTAAATCTGTCATCATTACTCTCTATCCCTTCTCCCTCATAGACTTGTCTAACTTCCCCTTAAACCTATCTCTCTTACTCATTTTAACCACTCCCTGTGTGAGGGAGTTCTACATTCTCACTGCTCTCTGGGTGAAGGCATCTCTTCTGAATTCTCTGTTCACCCCTCAGCTACTTTTGTTCAAGAGAAAACAGAACTATCCTGTCAATCCCATCATGGTATTTAAACCCACATGTTCCTGTATCATCCTTGTAAATCTTCTCTGCTCTTTCTCTAGTGCCTCTATATCCTTTCTATACTATGGAGACCAAAATTGCACATAGTAATGTAAATGTAGTCTAACCAAAGCTCAGTACAGGTTTAGCATAACTTCCCTCCTTTTTGATTCTATCCCTCTGGAAATAAAGCCTCCTTTATGGTTTGTCTTTTATAGTCTTGCTAACCCTGGCCCAACTTTTCCCCTTCCCCGTCTGTTCAGACCTGGTCACTATGCTTCAATAAATAGCAACAAAGTCAGCACTTGCTGGAGATCCCGGTCTAGGAGCTTTGTGCTCTGCATAGCCCAGTATCACATCAGAAAGTCCAGTTCCCCTTGACTCTCGATGAATCTTGGCAGGTAAACAAAAAGAACAACTTGCCTTGGCATAGTATCTTTAACAAAGAGAAACATCCCAAAGTGCCCCACAGCTGTTAATATCAAACAAAGTATGATGCTGGGCCGCAGAGGAGACAATAGGGCACATGACCTGAAGTTAAGTTAGATTAGCAGGTCTGAAGGAGCATCTTAAATGAGGAAAGGTGGAGAAACAAAGATGTTTGGGGAAGGAACTCCAGGGGGGCCCATGCTGCTGAAAGATAAGCACCAATAGTGATGTGATTAAAACTGAGGATGTACAAGAGACTGGAATTACAGGAGGGCAGATATCTTGAAGGGTTGTGAAGCTAGAGGGGATGGCAGAGATAGGGCGATGGTGGGATTTGAAAATTGAACAGTTCAAATGCACGTTAAAGAGGACTGGGAGTCAATGGTAGTGACTGAGCATAGGAGTAATGGGAGAACAGGTCTTGCTGCGATTTGAGGGAAACAGCAAAGTTATTCTTTATCCTTTCATGGGAAGTGGGCATCGCTGGCAAGGCCAGCATTTGCTGCCCGTTCTTAACTGCCCCTTGAACTGAGTGGCTTTCTCAACCTTCAGAGGGCAGTTAAGAGTCAACCACGTCGCTGTGGGTCTGGAGTCACATGTAGGCCAGACCAGGTAAGGATGGCAGTTTCCTTCCCTCAAGGACATCAGTGAATTAGTTCTGAGGAAGGGTCACCGGACCCGAAACGTTAACTCTGTTTTCTCCTTCACAGATGCTGCCAGACCTGCTGAGCTTTTCCAGCAACTTTGTTTTTGTTCCTGATTTACAGCATCCGCAGTTCTTTTGGTTTTAGTTAGTGAATCAGATGCGTTTTTATGAAAATCGATGATAGTTGTCATGGTCACCATCACTGAAGGTAGTTGTCAATTCCACATTTTTATTAATTACTACTGTTATTAATTAATTGAATTTAAATTCCACTAGCTGCCATTGTGGAATGTGAACTCATGACTCCAGAACATTAGCCTGAGCCTCTGGATTACTAGCCCAATCGCACAAACACAACAACTTACTTTAAATCTAACAAAACATCCCAAGGTGCTTCACAGGAGTGTTACTGAACAAAATCTAACCCCAAACCACGTGAGATATTGGGTTCGGTAACCACAAGCTTGATCAAATATGTGGTGTTAAGGAGCATCTTATGTTTAGACTTGGGATGTCTCACTGCATTTATACAGAGCCTTGGTGAGAGCACAGCCAGAGTACTGTGTGCAGTTTTGGTCTCCCTACCTATGAAACGATATCCTTGCCATAGAGGGAGAGCAGTGGATGTTCACTAGGCTGATACCGGGGATGGCAGGATTATCGTATGAGGAAGGTTGGTTCAACTGGGCCTGTATTCACCTAGAATTTAGAAGGATGAGAGGGGTTCTTATTGAAATGTGGGTGAAGGGACAGTCTGGATGCAGGGAGGATGTTTCCCCTGGTTGGGGAGTCTAGAACCAGGGGTCAAGTCTCAGGGGGATATGGGATAGACCTTTAGGACTGAGATGAGGAAACATTTCTTCACTCAGAGGGTGGTCACCCTGTGGAATTCTCTACCAAGGAAGGATGCGGAGGCCAAATCACTGAATATATTCAAAAATGAGATTGATAAATATTTATATTTTGAAGGCATCAAGGAGTATGAAGGGAAAGTGGGAATGTGGCAGTAACAGAAGATCAGCGGTGATCATACTGAATGGTGAAGCAGGCTCAAAGGGCTGAATGGCTGAACCCTGCACATAATTTCTATGTTTCTATGACACCAATATCTTCAAAGAAAAACAGAAATTGCTAGAGAAACTCAGCAGGTCTGGCAGCATCCATGGTGAGAAAGCAAAGTTAATGTTTTGGGTCCAGTGACCTTTCTTCAGAACTTATTGTAGCTAGAAAAGGATTGGTATATGCACTGAAGATAGGGTAGGGGAGGGAGGAGGAGTAAACGATAGGTGGAAATGGAGCCCAGAGACAGAGAAAAACAGTTAGGCAAAGGAGTGGGTAATAGTCAACCTGGGAGAATGAATAGTTGCTCATTGGGTCTGTTAGTGGCTGACAATGAGTTGTTTGTGGTAGCACTCATCTGATGACAAGGCCTGGTGTGTGAGGATTGGAGTAAGGACATGGGAAAAGATGCTCAAGCTCTAAAGTTGTTGAACTCAATATTGAGTCCAGAAGGCTGCAGAGTTCCCAAGTGGAAAATGAAGTGCTGTTTTTCCAGCTTGCGCTGAGCTTCATTGGAGCACGGCAGCAAGCCTGAGACAGAGATGTTGTCCAGGGAACAAGCAGGTGTATTGAAGTGGCAGGCAACTGTAAGCTCAGGGTCTTTTCTGCAGAGAGAATGGGGGTGTTCCATAAAGCTGTCGCCCAGTCTGTGTTTCGTCTCTTTAATGTTGAGAAGAGCACATTGTGAGCAGCGAATGCAGTAAACTAGATTGAGTGAAGTGCAGGTAAAGCGCTGCTTTACTCGCGAAGTGTATCTGCAGCCTTTGTTACTGAGGAGGGAGGAGGTAAACGAGCAGGTGTCACACCTTCTGCAGTTGCATGGGGAGGTGTCGTGGGGGTGTGGGGAGGTGTTAAGAGTGAAGGAGGAGTGGAACAGGGTGTCCCAGAGGGAACAATCCCTGTGGAAGGCTGACAAGGGAGGGGAGGGGAATATGTGTCTGGTGGTGACATCCCGCCGGAGATGGCGGAAATGACAGTTAGCGATCCTCTGGGTGTGGATGCTGATGGGATGATAGGTGAGAATAAGGGGGACCCTATCACTGTTGTGGGAGGGATAAGGGGGGTGAGGGCTGAAGTGCAGGAGATGGGTTGGACATGGCTGATGGCCCTGTCGACAATGGTGCTGGGGAATGCTCGGTTGAGGAAGAAGGTGGATGTTTTGGAGGCTTCCTTGTAGGAGTTGGCATCATCAGAAAACAAACGGAAGAACTGGGAGAATGGAACAGAGTCTTTACAGAAAGCCGGTTGTGAGGATGTATAGTTAAGGTAACTGTGGGAGTCGTTGGGCTTGTAGTGGAGTGATTATGAGAGCTGAGAGTAGGTCAGGATGGATGAATGTAAAAGCAACCACGTTGTAACAGGACTGGGTGTGGTGTTCGGTAAAAAACATGGAAGGATGGAATCAGGCTCTAAAATTAGTAAACTCAATGTTGAGTCCTAGAGGCTGCAGGGTCCCCAAGTGGAAAATGAGATGCTGTCCTTGCGCTGAAACTCACTGGAACACAGCAGCAGGCCTATGACAGAAATATTGGCCTAGAACATGGTGGTGTGTTGACATAGCAGCCAACTGAAAGCTTGGTGTCATTTTTATGGACAGATCCCATTGATAGATCACCGTGGGTTTGGTTGAGTCTGTGCTTATTGCAGGCGTAAGGTGGGAGGCAAGGACAGGAGACAGTATGGCAAGGAAGCAATGCACGCAAGATTCGGCCTGGTGGCATTGCCTGGGCTGAGCCCATTTGTACAGATGGCACCTACTTGCCTCTCACTGTTTCTGAAACAGCCAATGTGCAAAGGCTGACATAACAGAGTGAACAGCGCCAGAGTTCACAGAGACATAGAAATGAGGAGCAGGAGTAGGCCATCTGGCCCTTTCTTACCGGCTCTCCATCTCGAGGCCAGGCCCGGCCGTTCTGCAAGTACTTGTTCTGGTTTTGCCGCTTTTTCTGCCCACCATCTGCAAATTTGCACAGCAGCGGTTCTGAGGGAGCTGCATTGAAAGAGAGAAAACGCCAACACTTCAGAGAAGGATGACCCTCAGTCTGGGTCAAGGAACTCTCAAACCTGTGCCCAGTGCCCCTTTCCGCCTGCCCATTTTGTTATTTGAATCCTTAACCCATGTTGTGTTACTCCACCCTGTAATCATAATCATAAATAATAGCATTTCCCACCTTCCCTCGTCTCAAGGGAACACAAAGCAAGGGGCAGGTTCACAATCCATTGCACTCACCTGCAACTCCTTGCTGCATCTTAATGAATTTCCCATTGAAGTGAGCAATGATGGCTTCACATTTTTCTGTTGATTCCATCCTGTGGGCAGAACAGCCAAAGGCACAGAGTTAAACAAGTCAAATCAAGTGGCGGCTCACTGAGGCCAGGGCACAGGAATAAAATCAGCTTGAAAATCGTCCTCCCAAGGTATCCTGTGTATGGTAACTGCAAGGTCTTTGCAAAGGAAAGGTTGGACAGTCCCAGGCTACCCTCGACTGAACAGGGGCTCATGGTCCAAACTACATGTAACCCAGCTCGAACACTCCCAGTGTGCCACTCAGGGAGTGCTGCACTGCCTGAGGTACCATATTTTGAATTAAGGCTGAATGAATGAAGGGAGCTTTTGAATGAAGCAGACTTGGATACAAGATTTCCTGGGTGGCGGGGGGAGGACAGTGGCTCAGTGGTTAGCACTGCTACCTCACAGCACCAGGGATTCTGTGATTCTAGGGTGGCATGCAGGAGTGTTGAGGATAGCACTGGCTGACAAAAGCATCCCACTGTCTTTGGGAGCCAACAAAACGTACCCAAACAACAACAGTGTGCAGTCCCAAATCTATAACACCCAATAATCTCTGCCTCATTTTGAGCCATTACACCTCCAATTCCTAGTGGAGGACACAAGTTACACTTCTACCTCAAAAAGAATTTGGATGGCACCTCCACCAATAGTCCAATTAGGCAGGGCTGATTTCCCACTCCCATCATGGGGTGGGGGACTGGATGTACACTCCAAGGAAATTCTGAATTCACGCACTTTGAAAGGCCTAAGTGGAACCCACATCAGGACAGAGCGGGCAGAATCCCCTCTCAGACCATCTACAAATCCCAAAGCTTCAATTGAGTGTGAAGGTGACTGGAAACAAATTTTGCTCAGAGAGCCTCCAACATGGGATTTGAAAAGTTAAAATGCTTTATTTTTCCCCTGGAGGACCCCTCTCTGCCTCATAAAAGCAAATTAGTTCAGAGATAGTAAAAACTGCCGATGCTGGAGTCTGAGATAACACAGTGTGGTGCTGGAGGAACACAGCAGGCCAGGCAGCATCAAAGGAGCAGGAAAGCTGATGTTTTGGGTCAGGACCCTTGTTTAGAAATAGTTCAGACCATGGCTGCTTCAATGCTCTTTAAAGTATTAGTATCTTTGGTGATGAGAATGACTCATGCCCTCAATGCAGGGTGGAACTCTTGAACCAGGGCACCCCGATTTAACAGGTCTATTTACCCCTGGATTTAGTGGGCCTCTGTTCTACCTTCCCTTGGAGACAATTCACACAGTACTTCCCCAGGCTTTGGAACATAATCATTGTGTTTTCTTAATAACTCAAAGAGATGCTGCTTACTTTGGCACCATCAGATGAAGCCTGAGGCCTAAGGTAAACACTGGCGTTGTTAGAAGCCAGGATATAAAAGCACACACCGCCTCAAGGTTTATTGTGTGAATTAGAGGTCAGGAATCGTGTAATGATTGCATATTTCTTTGTGAGATTTTCATCATTTTCCTCAGAGGTGGGTAGACTTGACTGATGTGAAATACAGAAGCTCAATAAAGTATACAAAGACAGCAATAAACACTAGATTTATTAGGCCTTTAACACAAGCGAAATCCATCTTTATGGCTTGTCATAGCATTAATTATACATTATTACCCTTGATTAAGCCCTATCTCACAGGGTCCACTTGCTGCTTTAATTTAATTATTGTTTGTTAATTTTAATCCTCAATATATATCTTCTTCTCCTCTTCCACTTTTTGTTCCTGCCAATATTAGCTTTTACAAGCTGTATGTGCCTCTGGGCCACATTGGTCTGGCTGGAAGGGTCAAGATTTGCTGCCTGTTCCGGCTTGCCAACTCCTCCAGGGGTGTCCTGGACTACCCCCAGAAATGGAAGAATAATCTCTGCAGCAATGAGCCCAAATCCAGGTGAAGAATGGTATGAACAAATTGCAAGATCAGCAGATTTTATCTTCTTTGAACATCTTCATTTACTCATGAAAATGCTATTAGCAGTGGGGAAATGCAAAACCTGTTTGATTGACAGTTAAGATCAATCCAGTTGAGTAGCACAAGAGTTCGTTAAAACATAGAAACATAGAAACCTGGAGCAGGAGTTGGCCATTCAGCCCTTTGAGCCTGCTCCACCATTTAATACAATCACGGCTGATCATCCCACTCAGTTCCCTGTTCCCACTTTCTCCTCATACCCCTTGAATCCTTTAGCCCAAAGTACTGTATCTAACTCCTTCTCGAAATATTTTGGCCTCAATCACTTTCTGTGACACAGAATTCCACAGACTCCCCATTCTCTGGGTGAAGACATTTCTCCTCATCCCAGTCCTAAATTACTACCTCATATCTTTAGACTGTGACTTTACTGACTGATTGACTTTGAGACGACAGTGTGCCTAGAGGATGAACCATTAGCATGAGGCTCCACGATTTTGGCCAACCCCAGTTGACAAGTGTACTGGATCACAAGGCTGAGGGCAATAAGGTGCTACAACTGGTTTCAGAGAGCAGAGAAAGCATCCTTTTACAAGATGCTGGCACAATTGGCAGGTGACGTGGGGAGCTGACAGGGTGGCAATGCTCATGGACTTGGCAGTCCAGCAAGACTCAGAAACAAAGGAAGAGAAAAAGATAAAACACAGCTTGGACTTACAATGTGAAGGATTGGATTGTGGAGGAAGGAATTTGGAAGAACAGACTGGAGAGAGTCAATGAGGTGCAGAGCTGGGTGAACACAGCAGGCTAAGCAGCATCAGAGGAGCAGGAAAGCTGACGTTTCGGGTCTGGACTTTTCTGAAGATACTATCTATACTATTCACTTCAACCAATCGCTGTGACTGTGGAAGTGAGTTTCACATTCTCCCCACTGCTTGGGTAAAGAAGTTTCCTCTGAATTCCTGATTGGATTTCCTGGCGACTATCCTATTTAATGGCCTCTAGTTCTGATAATCCCTACAAGAGGAAACACTCCCTCTGTTAAAACCTTTCATAATTATGAAGACCTCTATTTAGTCACCGGTCAGCCTTCTTTTCCCAAAAGACACCCAGCCTGTCAATCCATTTCTGATGTGTGCGCACACATATTTCTGTAACATTTTTTATAATCTCTGCACATTCTCCAGTGCCTCTATATCTTGTATATAGTCTGAAGATCAGAATTGCAGACAGTGCATAAATGTTGTCTAACCAAGATTCACTGCATTTTTAGCACAATCTCCCTTCCTTTCAATTCTACCCCTCCAGAAATAAAGCCTCGTGCTCAGTTTGCTCTCTTTATAGTCTTGCTGACCAGTGGCACAACTTCAAATGATTGGTTTATTTGTCCAAGATCCCTTTGTTCCTCTACCTGACTGAGACTTGCACTTTCTACAACGTACTATCTCACATTTGTTGAGCTTCATTTGTCAGTTTTATTGCTCATTCTGCAAGTTTATGAATGTCCTCTTGTCATTTATTGCAGTCCACCTTGGTATTACAAACAAACAAGGAACAAGAGTAGGCCACTCAGCCCTTCGAGCTTGTTCTGCCATTCAATAAGATCATGGCTAATCTGATTTTAACTTCAACTCTACATTCCTGCATACCCCTCCCACCCAATAATCTTTCACCCCCTTGGTCATCAAGAATCTATCTCCCTCTGCCTGAAAAATATTGAAAGATTCCGCATCCACTGCGTTTTGAGGAAGGGAATTCCAAAAACTCACAACCCTCACAGAAAAAATGTTTCCTCATCTCCGTTTTAAATGGGAGCCCCGTTAGTTTTAAATGATGACCCCTAGTTCTAGATTCTCCCACAAGAGGAAACATCCTTTTCCATATCCACCCGGTCAAGCCCCCTCAGGATTTTATATGTTTCAATTAAGTCACCTCCGACTCTTCTAAACTCCAGAGGATACAGGCCCAGCCTATCTGGCCTTTCCTCATATAGCAATCTGCTCATTCCAGGAACTGACCATTCCCTGCCCCTGTCAAATCAATGTCATCCAAATTGTGCTTGATTCCAAAGTCCAAATTGTTAATGTGAATTGACAGCAGCAGTGGTCCCAGCTTTCATCCTTGTCAAACCAAGCTCAGGTAAACGTATGAGGTTCCAGCGCAACATTTGGGGAAGAACAATGAGACTTCTCCCTGTATCCTGGACGATATCCCTCCCTCAATCAACATCATCACAAACAAACAAATGCATTGTTCACTCCATTCATTGATGGATGCAAAAATGGCCACCTCCATTCTACAAAGTAATGGCTTCTATCCATCAGTTAAGATGTGCCAGCAATGTATAAATTGGATAGGATTATCCCTTGTAGGCAGTTGTGTCAACACCAGAAAGGATAATCCAGAGAGGCTACGACCAAGAAACATTGAAAACAGGAACAAGAGTAGGCCATTCGGCACTTCGAGCCTGCTCCCCCATTCAATATGATCATAGCTGATCACCCAACTCAGTCCCCTGTTTCCACTTTCTCCCCGTACCCTTGGATCCCTTTTGAACCAAGAACTATACCTAACTCCTTCTTGAAAGCATTCCATGTTTTGGCCACAACCGCTTTCTGCAGCAGAGAATTCCACAGGCTCACCACTCTCTGGGTATAGACATTTCTCCTAATCTCAGTCCTAAATGGCTGACCCTGTATCCTTAAACTTTGACCCCTGGTTTTGGACTCCCTGGTCATTGTGGACATCCTTCCTGCATCTAGAATTTTATAGGTTTCTATGGGATCTGTCCCCTTATTCTTCTAACCTCCAATGAATATAGTCCTAACCGATCCAGTCTCTCTTCATACGTCAGCCCTGCCATCCCAGGAATCAGTCTGGTAAACCTTCACTGCACTCCCTCCATCACCAGAACATCCATCCTCAGGAAAGGAGACCAAAACCGCCCACAATACTCCAGGTGTGGTCTCACTAAGACCCTGTACAATTGCAGCATGACATCTCTGCTCCTGGACATGAATCCTCTCGGCCAACATTTGCCTTCTTCACCACCTGCCGCACCTGAAAGACTGAACAGCGGTGTCCAGATAGAAAGCTT